TTATGAGTCCGGGTATACCGGGCACAATTCCAGATTCCGTGGGACTACTAAGATTTTTTTAAAATCCCAGTAATACTTTGGCTGACCCGGAAATCGAACCCATGACTCCTTGCCCGGCAGTCGCATTTGCGACCACATGGCCAACAAGGTAGTCGAACAAAAGAAAAAACTACACAAACTGAATATTTTAATGGCTAATTCATGTTTGTATATGTCACTATAGAGATAGCAACTAAATGCTAAGTACACAGACAGTGCTCGTATACCGGCCATTATCTGTAAACACATACCTACATAATACGCATTCCATGTATTTTTAAGTGTGGGAGCCATGCTTCGACACTGCTGGGCCGGCTCAACAGGAGTGATACCAGCAACGAGCAGAAAACCGACGTGAAGCAACGCTTGCGTTATGTTTCGTCGTGTGAGTGAGGTCACCGGAGGCCCAATTACCCCCCTAATCTCCCCAATCCCCGAATAATATTTTACCCGACCCGCGAATTGAACTTGAGACCCCTTGCCCAGCAGTAGTACTTGCGACCACTCGGCCAACAAGGCAGTCGTTCGACCAACGAGACAATCTAATATTACTGGTGACTTAATTTGTGGTTTATTCATTAATTATAATTATATTGTGGTTGAATGAATTCTGTTCTGTGTTGGACTTCATTTTCATTACATTTCATAGTTGTTTTGTTAATAATAAGCAAAAAATGTATTGGTGGCCCGGAGGTTTAACACGCCCGCTTCTCATGCTGAGAGTACGGGCTCGAAACCTACCAACGGCAAGAACCAATGTGACTTTTCCGAGTTATATGTACTCTCTAAGATTATTCAGACACCACTGACAAACGGTGAAGGAAAACATCGTGAGGAAACCTGGGCTTACAATTACTAATTATGAGTTTGATATCGCCAACCCTTTAATTGATTAATGCTCAAACCTTCTCGGTGTGAGAAGAGGCCATTGGTCAGCAGTAGACACTGTAGTAGGCTGTTGATGAATAGTAAGTAAATATTGACATATAATTAGGTATTAGCAATATAGTATCACCGCAAAACATGAGACGATTAGTTCAATTCCAGACTCAGTTAATACAAATAATAATGGTTGATTAGCAATTTTTTTCTAGAAATCTAACTGTTTGTATTATATCAATATTCTATTTGATTTTATATTTTATATCAACCTATTGACTGAATGGTCCCAACAAGGGAGCCTTGTGTTTGATTCTTGGGTAGGCAGAAAAATAATAAGTATACAGCTGGTATGAAGCTATGTCATCCACTATTACCTAGGACTGGTAAAAAATTATTAATGTATTGCATCCAAACTTCTACGAGGAAGTATGCATACAAGCGATGATGTAATTTATATCTATACATTGGTATATAAATTGGTAGGACAGTGATAACTGTACATCAAATATTTTTTTAAAAGAATGTTGGGGCGTGATCTACAATCCATATCGAACCACTGGACACACACACGCTGGACCAAATTCACAAATTCTTTTTTTGTTGTATTTTAACCTTTTCAACTTTCTCCTAATAATAACATTATTAGGAGAAAGTTCTTAAGACACAAAAAATCCTGAAAATCCTACGGGAATGGGAGAAAACGGGATTGTGCATACGAAGTCGCGGGCAGGAGATAGTGTTACAGTAATTATTATAACATATATTTTAAATACAGTATATACATTTATATAGTATGGTACTGTAGACTTATCACTCAACACATAGGTACTTCATATCGAGGGGTAACGGGCTATTTGGTTTAAGCGACATTTTGGGCGATATTGAGTTATATATATATTCGGAATCAGCGAATTTTTCTCCGTCGATTGATGCCGGTTTCATTAAAATCGGAGCACTTTTTTGGCGTTTGAAACAATTCTATTTTCGTGTTGTTTCCAAAGTGACAGTGTATTAAACGACATGGATTTCGCATTTTTTATTAAATTATGTACTTGAACCATACCATCATATTAATAACCGAGACATAAACCAGTCACCCTATCTCTAATTAATAAGTCAAAATGAGTTAAAGCGTTTTTCCTGTTTCTAATTTTTACTAGCAAGTAACTTGAATCATTTTGACTTCCCACTAATCACACGGTGTGTTGTCGCTTAAAACATTTATCCGTCACCCAAATACGACATGGTTCGTCTCTTAAACACTTCTAGCTGCTTTTATTTTCCACGCAGGGTGCTACTTAAACCAAATAGTCGTTTTCGTTCAGATATTTTGTTTAGTCATAAATCATTTAGCCCTCCTTTTTTTTAAAATGCATGTCGTTTTATACAGATGATAACATTAATAATGGATATTGAAACATTTTGCCAGTATTCATAAAAATATGAATCGGTCTTTAAATCACTAAATTTTAATATGGTACATTTCAATCATGTCATATGATACTATATTTATTTCATCGCCCGGGTGTTAAAAATCGTGATCATCCAACTGGACTATCGTGCGCTGGCGCTTCAGTCACTCCAGAATGCGTCGAAGACAGACGGGACGCGCACTCACCGCCAGTGTTTACGTAAAACGCTCATCGAAATTGAATCCTAAGTACTTTAATTTCAAGATCAACCTCGCGGTCGTCCGAAGACTTTGGTGACAATAGGCTATTGTGGAAGCTGATGACATACAATCTACGGCTGATTTAGCAACAGCTTTCGACGTTAGCATCAAAACAATATTGGTCCATTTACGTCAAATTGGCAAGGTAAAAAAACTTGACAAGTGGGTGTCCCACAAACTCAATGATCGCCAGAGCTAAGTATGCATCGAGCAGTGCCTTGCACTGCTCAACATAGTTGTAGTAGTAGTTAGTTCAGCACCTAAACAATACCCGAAACGAAAACTTACTCCTAGAAAAGTGATGGTCACTGATGGTCTAGCGCCAGTCTGATTCATCACAGGTTCTTACCAAACGGAGTGAGCATTACTGCGGATGTGTAATGTGAAGAACTGAACACAATGATGGAGAAGCTGACACATCTCCAACCAGCACTGGTCAATCGCTCATCTCCATTGCTCCTGCATTACAACGCGCGACCTAAAGCTGCACAACAGATGGTCTCCAAGTTACAAGAACTGGGGTTGGAAGCTCTCCAATATCCACCCTACTCACCAGACTACTTCTTTTCCAGAATTTGAATAACTTCTTCGCGGGAAAAAAATTCATTACCCGAGAGGCAGTACAAAATGCATTTAAAGAATTTGTTGCCACCCGTCCAGCTGATTTGTTTAAGAAGTATTTTGTGGCAGTTTATTGATGCCCAATAAACTGCCACTGCGTTGGCAACGATGCATTGATTACATGGGTGATTACTTCGATAAATACAAATAAAAAATACATGAAAAAAATCGTTTAAATTTTTTCATACAAAACGGCAATTTCAGTAAATAACCCATTAATTTATCTGATTTTGCTGAATAAATAATAATATAATCGTTGTTCCTATGCAGACTGTTATTATTAATCTAAATAAATACTTTGATATTGTGTTGTGTTTATTTATCCGATGTAAGCACCTGAGATTTTCGGTTGTTTCGATATATCCAGGTTGTTTTATCAGCCATTAATCGTCTTAGATGTAAATAAACATAAACATTTAACGATACAATTTCAATGTTATATGTCACATAAGTAAATTAGCCTGTTACTCATTTTAGTCTAAATTGGTAGTTGAGATAAATAGCTTGCTTCTATTTATTTTGGGTTTCGTTACTTCATACTTTTTGGCTTACTCTGTAAATAGAGTGCATCGTCGCTTAATTTTTTTCCCTTGTAGCCAATTGTAGTTATGAAGTCACTTAAATCATTTTTCCTGACTCTAAAAAAGGGCAGATTGTATTAAGCGACATTTATTTTTGTAATTAAAGGTCCGCTTTATTTGGAATTAGCATCAGCAACTAGATATTTTTATTTAAATTTCAATGCAATTTACCCCGTTCAAATAACTGCAGAAGCGTTTTTGTTATGAATTTTTTTTCGAAATTTCAAACTTTAAAAGGCTCTCCTGTAAAGTTGCAAAAATGTCGCTTAAACCAAATAGCCCGTTACCCCTCGATATTATCACAATCATTTCATGCATGACTGAGTACAACACTGAGTTCTAACTGTGCTGTTTTAATTATCTACTACTAATCTATGAGAGATTACAGATGGTTAAGCTATGTTTAGTGAGGTGAGGTTTTGGGTGGGTATATTAACTCGTCGAGTACCGTCAATACAGACACAATTATAGAACAATAGGTTGCGGTCACCGGTGACTGCTTGGTGTTTGACAGTTTAACAATGATTGAAGTGAGGTATAAGTAGAGACCTTGTCTGTTTTACTGGAAAAATAGTGGATTATTGAGACTATTTGTGTGGACTACATGTGACACTACCTGTGCTCTTCCCGCGGGTGTTGTATACCCAGTTAAAAGACTACACATTTCATGATGACAGAATAGTTAGACACATACATTATGAAATATAAAATCCTCTTTTCACCAGCTAGAATAAACTAAACAATAGCTATAGCAGACTTTATGATTTTTCAATTTGAATAAAACTCAATAGCACCTTGAGTCAATTAAGAAAACCATTACTAACTAGCAGTTATTAAATAATTATAATTACAACCATGTACATGCATCACTGGCACTTGAAACCTTGTATTTTTTTTAAATAGCCAGAGAATCTTACATATTCAACATTCTAGCATTCTTCCTTTCATAAAACCTTTTTACAAATATATTAATTAGGAATTAGTGATAAGAAGGCATTGAAATGAAGTTTTAATTAGTCATTTGGCTAATTAGTGGCGATTTGCGCGGTTCAATCATAATATTTGGATACCAAAACTCATTTTAGGACATACAACATTCATGATTGTGATTTGTATGAGCAGTGCAAATTAAATACTAGAATCACCTTTTAAAAAAATCTTAAAACTAAGTCAAGGTATTAAGCTATACAGTCTATGTGACTCACCATCGCAGTCGGTTGATCTGAAGTCTAGGACAGCAATAGTTGCTAAGTTTCTGAATGAGTTGTATGCCCACAGGGGCATCTCGACTGACGCCGCTCATCCTCCAGTATTTTCGTTTAAAAGTCCTCGCGATACAGTCCGGCACGAACCTCATTCACGCCCCTTCACCGCAACAAACACATTGTTATAACAACACAGCTCTTTTGTTTACATCGACAATGAAAATAAACTTCGATCACGATTCTGCCTATTCACAATTTTTTTTTTAATTAATGAAGTCAAAATTTTAGTTATCTATCATTTAATACACAAGCTACTTTTACAGTCGTTTGTTTCGAGATTTTCGCGATAATATAATATTTTATAGCCGTATGTTACTATCGACACGTCTTCTGCGATTGCGTTGCGTTACTGAGCGCATCTTCTCTCTTTACCCCTGACATTTCCCTCTCGTTCACACTTGTGAAGACAGACAAGGTCAAAGCATAAAATATGCTACAAACAATAGTTTCGCAATTTATTCTAACCTTGACATTTCTAATGTCATTACTGACCAGCTGTCATTAGAGATTGACAGTGAATTTCGTTTCGTTTTTGCAATGTTGGTCCCATTTTGACATAATTAAAGATTGAAATTATTTCTCAATGTTTTAATTTGATAATGAATTTTAACTATCACAATTATACTTGGAATTTATCATTAAAGTTTTAGGAAATTCCACGACTTACATTTGTGGTTAGTCTATTACGCTACGCTTACGCTAGATGGTGCTATTCTATTAGTTTTACTACTGCACATTAGATGACGCTATTCTTTTAGTTTTAACACTACACGGTAGATGATGCTTTTGTCTTAATTTAATTTTGATATTTCGTACGTAATAAAATAACTTAAATTCTATATGTAGTATTTTTAGAACGTGTGAAATTTCTTATAACTTAGATTTGCATTATTTTCTTTATTTTTAGTAGTTTTTTACATGATACATGAAATGAAAATAAGGGAATTAATAAATATGTGTCAAAGTGCCGACTGCCGGGTGAGGAGTTTCGGGTTCGATTCTTGGGTCGGGCAAAGTATTACTGGGTTTTAAAAAAAATCTCAGTAGTAGCACGGAGACTGGAAATGTGCCCGGTACACGGCAATAGGCTCACCCCCGTATCACATGGGTCTCGTAATATAAATAATGAAAAGTGCAGGTGTTACATTGTACAGTGGCTGTGCTCTTCTGCCTATACCTTCGGGAATAAATGATGATGTTATGTTATGAACTTATGATACATAAATATGCACTTACAAAGATTTATTAGAATATTATTAGCGAATTCGGCCTACACAGAAATGCCCTATTGAGTGCATGTCAATAACCGACAGCCTGTCCTAGGTTGGAGTTCATGACATTTCGTGTGTGTATTAGTTTAGTAAACAAAGCGCTTTTTGTAAAGCAATTTTCAACACTACCTAATGAAAAAATTCTCTATCAGTCATTAGTAGTATATGATTGGGCATTCTGGACCACTTTTCGCTCGGCGAAACAAGTTCGCACTCGCGGTGGTCCAGAATGCCCAATCGTCAACGGTCGATTCGGTTAATGCTAGTAACGCAAAATACATAGTGGTACGGTTTATAAATATTAACATACAAAAAATATTTGTCATTGTTAT